GAGTCAGCCGCAGTTGACCAGTCTATCCTCTAACTGAGATGGAGGTGGTGTAAAGGGAAATGGCACGCTTACTAGGCGCGCGGTGTGGGGTTCAAATTCCGGAACGGCTTTCGCCCAAGTAAACCAAGCTTCTACCCTCCGGAGATAGTAAATTGGTATCAGGTTCGCCTGGGAGGCAAGAATAATGACTTATACATCGGCTGGCCACCGCAAGTCATTGTATAGGCCACATCGCATTCAATAAGCCACTACGATTGAATGGAAGTAGAATGCGTGCCGCATCCCAAAAAGGAGATTGCCCAACGACGATGATACTATCCTTTCATTCCTTATCCTCTAACTAATTCTGCAAATGATTATTCAAGCTTAAATTTATACACAGGTGCACTCTTGGAGACAAAGTTGTGAAAACACAACTTCACTGGAATCAATTTTTGCAGACAACCCTTGTTTCACCATATAGGGGTCAATTTAGTAAAGGACAAATTATATGCTTGGTAAGGATTATAAGTCGGTTTTTGGAGGTTCACGAAGACTTACAAAAGATAGAGCCCATCATCATCCCATATCGATGCGCCGATATCTTTCAAGGGTATCATCGCACCGAATTCGTCCACATGGAGCATGTGAATAATCTGAAAACTTCGTTTTTCAGGAGCGTTCGTGAAGCTTGCATGGAAATAATTGAGACGTAAACTGAAAAGCAAACAATCCAAGAAAACTGGAGATGATAGATCAGCCAGACCACCTGCTTTTGCAATGACATTATCATCATGGTTGTACCGCACAATGCCACACCATGCGTGAGATTTATTCGATCAAAGTTGTACATTACAAAATGCGCTACGGAGCCTTTCTGAAACACACATGATTGTGACAAAATCAAATCTCTTCTCTTCCTGAGGGCAAAATAGCACTTCCTGTTTTTAGCCTAAAAACCACTAATCTGAGGGTAAGAACGGCCACAGGATGCGTTCATACTCCGAGTCAGCGTTTTGAGCGGAAGCGAGCGTTTTCAGCAACTAGCAAAATATAGTATCGTTCTATGGTTCTGAGCGTACGCCGACCTAAACTCAAAACGCTAATGCGAAGTATGAACACACTTTCAGCGGCGTAACGGATAGTGCACAGGCTGGGAAAAAGGGTTCGAGCCTACATAGATCTCACCTTGATATCAATCGTGAAGAACGTATAGATTTCAAGACTATAATTCGTGACTGGTAAGGCTTCGGTATTCGGATAGGCCATAGGTATTGTCAACAACTGATCAGGGGCCTGAAAGTTTTCTTGTAGAGCAATGGCAGCCAGACAAGAGAGGCTGAACTGTGATACTTTAAAATTCAGTTTTTTTTTCCAATTCTCAAAAATACGGATTTGGAAACGGCAGATTCCATCTACTGCCAATGTGGGAGCAGGACATAGACGAGCTCATCGCTGACCGGTCCATAATGCTAAGGGGCGGCGTACATCCCATACAGTCGAGATTTCGAAAATTTACAAAAAAAAGAAGTTCCTATGAGCTCTGAGGTAGGGGCAGATAGCCAGAAAAGGCAGGCTTCAAAAGTAAGGTAGGTAAACCAAATCAAAAAGCGAGAAAAAGGAGAGAAATCCGCTGGCAGATTGCTCCTGGGAAGCGAACACTCGAAGAAGATAGAAGTAAAAATGTGAAATTTCAAAGTCAACAAGGAATCTCACCGGGGCTGTTGTTGCAACGATCATGTAATTTCCATCATCCGTGAAAAGCATGCAATCTGTCCGCAAAGAAGCACTTTCCAAACGAGAGGTTCCCATCATCATGGTCACCTCGGATTCTAATTCGAATAACCGCTGCAAGACTTCTTTGATTCATCAGAAGAACAGATTGAAAAAATGAACATCGCCGCTATTGCTGCAGACAGAATAGAACTCTTGCAAAACTATACCCCGCAGATATCTTCGGCAGAACTTGAACGAGCGCTTTCGACGCCCAGATAACGAAATATTCGAATGGAACGTAGATTTACACGAAATGTGATGAGCCTCGATCCATCAGGTGTCCATGAAACCACATGATCTTGCAAGTGACGAGCCTCCGGCACCTAAAAGGATTATCGTTAGCTTTTTTTCATGTCATTTCACATAAAAGTTCATTAATTTAGATTCTATCTTCCCAAACGAATCTGGTACCAACGTCCCTGTCCCCGGAAGCAGAAAGTTTGGTTGGCCTGGACAACAGCCGATAAGCGATTCGATCCCGCGTGGTAAGCAAGCTATTTGCCCTTGCATAATCTTCAGACTTAGATTTTTCACTGGGTAAAGGCGCACGATCCGTGACATAATCTCGTTGACTGCAGTTTTTTTAATTTTAGGTAGAAATGTAGTTCTAAATACTGCTTCGGGCCAGAACATTACTAGGTTGAAAAGCTGAAGTAAATACGACTCCCGATCGAGAAAAATGAAGGTCATGAAGTCCCATGTCAGTTTCCAAGCATAAAGCTCAGTTTTCGGCGTGGAACGATTCATGCCAAAAACTGGCATGACGATCATGATTAACTCTTTGAAAATTGTTTTACCGAGGACTATATGACCTCATCAAAGTGTTTGCCAGAGCCCGTGGAGTTACCACATTAAAGATTTGATGGAGCCTTCTAGCATTTTTAAGTCTTCTAAGGATCCACCCGCTCTGAAAAACTGTCACAGACCGTTCCCCTCATAGATCCTGTGCGCATGTGGCGGGGAGCGGCATCGGTCTCGGCCGGAAAATGCGTGGGGTGCCATATCAGAAGCTAATAGTTACGCTTAGTTACTTTACTACCGAAAACATGCAGTTATTTTACATGCCGAAAAGAGTAACACTGCAGACCCCATTCAGCGAATTCTAAAGCCACGAACAGGACAGTATTGGTTAGGACCGCTCGGAACTGCTAAAATCTTGAGGCACAAGGAAGGCAAGCTGCCCCGGGACTAAATGGCCAACACTAAGGTACTTCACACCAAATCAATGATTCGGAAAGCAGCAAATATGCCTAAAAACTTTCAGAAATAGAAAAAGAAACATTATGGCTAGGAACTTAAGAAAAGGGAGTTCGACGACTCTTACCCACCTCTACTACACGATCCATAGCTACAGTCGAATAAAACTCACGTCGGTTGCGAACATGCCGTACACCTGAAAAGAACTAACACTGAAATTGGTAGAATCTGCCTAATGCACCGCATAAAAGCATTCTTAACCCAAGGAATATTTTGGAAGATTCCCTAAAAATCGTTTGACCCATGTTCTAATTGAATTCCGATTGCCATCACTATAAAAAGAATCGAAAGCCAACCAGAGTTTTTGTACAACTAGGAACATGACGTTAACCACGAA